ATATAAGGTTTAGATGGGATTCTATGTATATATGCTAATAGTGAAATAACCTTTTTTTCTAAGATATTTTCTGTAGTGAAATATGCCCACATTTCAAATAAAAATTTTCAGAAATAAATTTTTTTAATCTTGTGAACGATTCTAGTCCATAAGGTGAAATTGCCTTATGTGAATGTTTTAAGTGTATGTCTGGAGCAGGAAGCTCTGAAAGAATGAAGCCATCAGCTTAATTACACTGACAGAGTGGAGAGGAAGGAGGAAGTCTGTATGTCAGTGGCTTCCTAACACCATGGCTTAGCTACATCGTAAAGACTTCACTTTTCACTGGGACAAAGTATTCCTTGAGTGTACAGATATATTTATGTTTCTGAACAAATACAAGTGATGGCTTTACTTACAAAGGTTATCTGCTAGTAGAGCAAATTAATTTTAAACAACTAGGGCCTTCTAGCCAAGTTCTCTTTCAAGTGATTGAGAGGAACTGATGTTGAGTGCCCCAGTTTGGCTTGACATTCTCTCCACTCTTTTGAAACTTGGAATGTAATCTTTCTCCACCCATATTTTTAAAATTTAAGACAATGAACTTTGTATCAGCACAGGCTCTAGAAAACAAGAAAACCAGGTTGAAATCATGTCGCTGGCTTCACCAAACATTGTGATATTGCAATAAAATTCTACTGTCTATAAAATGGAGATCAAAGCTTCATAAGTTAAGTAATGGCATATAAATGAAGTAACTAGACTAATATGGCACACAGTAGGTATTCTAAAATGTAAACTGCTATCCTGCTTGCTTTTCTTTTTTTAAAAAAATATTTTTATTTATTTATTTGAAAGTCAGAGTTACACAGAGAGGAGAGGCAGAGAGAGAGAGAGGTCTTCCATCCAATGGTTCACTCCCCAATTGGTCACAATGGCCAGAGCTGCACTGATTTGAAGCCAGGAACCAGGAGTTTCTTCTGGGTCTCCCACATGGATACAGGGGCCCAAGGACTTGGGTCATCTTCCACTGCTTTCCCAGACTATAGCAGAGCATATCTTTAAACTACCTGTCAATAGCCAACAGTTGTCAGATTTACAGTAAGCCACAATTTGTGCATATGTCTATACATATTAGCTCTTCAGTCACTCCTCTCTCGAACTCTGGGCATGCTTACTCGCTGTTAATGGAAAACAGAATTTCAAGGTGATTTGACCATAGTCACACAGCTGATTTAGAGCTGGGCTCAAATCCAGGCCTTTTGACTTCTAGTGTTGTGCTCTACATACGACACTAAAGCTGACTCTGTCATCTGCATGTTCAGGAACAACCATGATTTGGGCTCTGATTTGCTCATACTGGTAATTGACAATTAAAGGTTCCATGTGTACAGAGGGGGAAAAATTAGCATGGTTGGATGTAGCCCTAAAAGGCTTTTTGTTTGTTTTCTTTTGTTTGGAGTATCAACACTCCCTTTGAAAACCAATGTTTCCCTGTTAAATATAAGAGTGGGAATAAGAGAGGGAGGAGATGTACAATTTGGGACGTGCTCAATCAGACTTGCCCCAAATGGTGGAGTTAGAAATGTGCCAGGGGATTCCAATACAATCCCATCAAAGTGGCATGTACCAATACCATCTCACTAGTCCAAGTGATCAATTTCAGTTCACAATTGATCACACTGATAGGTCTAAGAGTCAAAGGGATCACATAAAGAAGACTAGTGTCTGCTAATACTAACTGATAGAATCAAAAAGGGAGAGAATGATCCAACATGGGAAGCAGGATACACAGCAGACTCACAGAATGGCAGATGTCCTAAACAGCACTCTGGCCACAGAATCAGCCCTTAAGGCATTCAGATCTGGCTGAAAAGCCCATGAGAGTATTTCAGGCATGGAAAGCCAAGACACTGTGGCAAAAAATAAAAAAAAAGAGGACCTAAATGAAAGATCTCTGCAAGTGAGATCCCAGTGGAAAGAACGGGGCGATCAAAGAAGGAGATACCTTTCTCTGAAGGGAGGAGAGAACTTCCACTTTGACTATGACCTTGTCTGAATAAGATTGAAGTTGGCGAACTCAAAAGGCTTCCATTGCCTTGGCAACTCATGACTAGAGCCTAGGGAGATTACTGATGCCATAAACAAGAGTGTCAAATAGTTAAGTCAACAACAGGAGTCACTGTGTACTTACTTCTCATGTGAGATCTCTGTCCTTAATGTGTTGTCCAATGTGAAGTAATGCTATAACTAGTACTGAAATAGTATTTTTACACTTTGTATTTCTGTGTGGGTGCAAACTGATGAAATCTTTACTTAATACATACTAAATAAATCTTCTGTATATAAAGAGAATCGAAAATGAATCTTGATGTGAATGGAATGGGAGAAGGAGCGGGAGATAGGAGGGGTGCAAGTGGGAGGGAAGTTATCGGGGGGGAAGCCATTGTAATCCATAAACTGTACTTTGGAAATTTATATTTACTAAATAAAAGTTTTAAAAAACCCAATGTTTTAAGATATGATTCATATTCTGATCATAGAGTGGCAGTAAAAATTATGTTTTTGTATTATAATATGGCAAAATTACCCACACCCTCAAAGGACCGGCTGCTGTAGAGCAGCAGTCACCAGTGATGCCTACATTCTCTAAACTATGGTAATTGGTAATTTTCCTTGATTTCTTTAAGTCAGTCAGATAGCAAATTTGTGTGTAAAACTATCAAAGCCATAGCATCTGTTATGATGCAGTAACTTCACTGAATCTTAGTAAATGAAATCTCCATCGCAGGATTTTCGGACTGCCCAGTGTTCTACTTAGACAAGAGTTTTTAGGACTCATCTTGTCAAACAGGCATAGAAAATTATAGACAATAAGATTGGAAAATTTTTCTGATACTTTTTGTATTATATTTCCAGTATGGTGCCATTGTTTTGAACTGATATGCATAGCATACATGAAGTGGTTTACAATATTAGATATTGTTCTCATTATTAGATATAGTCTCACTCCTCAAGGCCAAAAGGAGGATTTTATTGTTGAACTATAAATCAACAACTATTGTACTGCTACAAATAACTACCAATTATTTTGTGCTTATTACACAGCAGGGTCTGTACTAAGATCTTACTTGTATATCATCACATTTAATTTCCCCCAAAACCTTCATAGTAGATATTTCTGTTATATCAAATTTACAGATTAGAGTGTGGTGACTTAGAAGGTTAAGAAAATTACTCATGGTTACAAACTTAAGAAATGGAGAATCCCTTAATTGAGCTTAGATGTACGTTTTAATTCATGCAATAACTAATTTCTAAGTAATAGTTCCCATAAACAAAACTAGAAATTAGAAGGGGAAAGTGGTGAATGGAAGTTGTGTGAATAATCAACCATGTTCACTTACCCTGGGCAGTGTAGAAAATGGAATGAATGCTGAGGAGACCACATCTATAGTGACTAAGTAGGAGATTATGGAGGCAGTCCAGATGAGATATGAAGTTCAGTCAACCAGGTTGTAGCAAAGAAATGAAGAAACCTAGAGGGACTGAAAATATACCTTGCAGGTAGAGCTGGATTTCTGGTGGTTTTACGAAAGAGAAGTTAAGCTAGGGCAGCCCATTATTTTTTACTCAGAACAATATGATGACCTGAATTGAGTAACACTAGAATGGGTGTGCAGAGTGAGGGAAAGAAATATTTCTCTTTTTGTTTTCAAAAGATTTATTTATTTATTTGAAAGTCAGAGTTACACAGAAGGAGAGAGAGAAAGAGGTCTTCCATTCGCTGGTTCACTCCCCAGTTGGCTGCAATGGTCAGAGCTGCGCTGATCCGAAGCCAGGAGCCAGGAGCTTCTTCCAGGTCTCCCACACTGGTGCAGGGACCCAAGGACTTGGGCCATCTTCTACTGCTTTCCCAGGCCATAGCAGAGAGCTGGATCTGAAGTAGAGAAGCTGGAACGTGAACCGGCGCCCATATGGGATACTGGTACTGCAGGCGGTAGCTTTACTCGCTATGCCACAGCGCCGGCCCCAGGAAAGAAATGTTTCTACTCTTTTTTTTTTTTCATTCAACAGTGTTTTATTTATTTATTTATTTTGGTGTATAATTCTCATACTTCTTTTGTTAACTTTTTCTGTTTTTTTAGAAACTGAATATTTTTATTTTTAAGTTCCATGTTCTTAACCATTATTAATGTTGTCTTTATCATAAACATAAAAGAAATTTGAAGTCTATAGCTATGTCACTGTAAACAACTCAGAAAGATTTATGGAGAGATCAAATTATTCTGTACTGTGCAAAAATGAAGAAAATTTTGACATAGAACTTGTCACTTTTCTTGGTTTTTGAAGTAAGTTCTGAGGAACTGGATTGTCTGAGATTCTCTTTGAACTCTGTTAAATCTAACTTCAATATATATTTACAGTATTGTGAGCTAAATTTGAGGGCAAAAAAACGCTGTAAGATAATTTGCCAGAAAGTGACCAGGTTTATTTTAGATGATTGAGTCATATGGTCTTTTTCTTTTTTTCTACATTTTAATGTTTTCCAGATTTTCTACAATTATTGCATATTACTTCTATAACAGTAAATTAAGAAATTGAAAAAAGTGAACCTATAAAGAAATCTCTATTTTGTTAGATCTACATAATCCATAGTAATAAGATCTTAAAACCAAATTGTAATTTACAGTCAAACCAATCAAATAATCATGTAATTGTGAGGGACCTTGAAATGCATGTCATTCTAACTATGCTATATGGGATGCAGCCCCAGTCAGAGTGGGCTGCAGTTCTGGATGGGGTCTGACCAGTTGTGTGATCCATGGGAGAAAGGCTGGGAGTGGTGAGGAGTTTAAGTTTTTCTTGATAACTTTCATTTGAAATATGCTTCCAAATTTGGACATTTGAAAACTTTTAGACTCTGCCTTCCCGTATATTAAGATTTGATAATCATAATAATATTCCTTGAGAAGTATGCTTAGCCACTTCTGAGCCTCACCTCTGTTTCTTCCTCTCAGGGTCAATGATTGTATCTTGCGGGTGAATGAGGTCGATGTGTCCGAGGTTTCCCACAGTAAAGCAGTGGAAGCCCTCAAAGAGGCGGGATCTATCGTCCGGCTGTATGTGCGTAGAAGACGACCTATTTTGGAGACCGTTGTGGAAATCAAGTTGTTCAAAGGGCCAAAAGGTAATAAAAATATAAATAACTCAGCATAATATTTTGAGTGGTAAGACATTTGGCTAAAGTTTATGCCACAACCCATTTACAATATACTTTCTTCTTTATTCTCTGACATTAAGTGCTTATCAGGAGTCTTGAAACCTACTTTAGTGGTTTTTACAGAAGGTAAAAGAAATCAATACTCTAAATCTAAAACTCAAGTAAGGAAAAGATATGTTTTATATAGTAATGTCCTAATAAACAAATAGAGCACAAGTCATTTGTATATTTCTATAAATTTTAATCTTGCCAAATTATCAAAACTTGACTAGCATAGTAGTTTTTTTTTAATTTTTAAGATTAGAATGGCAAATCCTGTTTAGCAAAATAGTAATGAAAATAATAATTAAAATAATATATTGATATATCAAATTTATCTTTTATAACATTGTAGTTTGTTTTAATGTTATAATAGTCTAGTATGTTGTATCCAACAAGTACTACATAAGTATTTTTACTTGCAATAGTCAAATTAAATTTAAATATATTTTCTGAGATGTTAACAAATTTCTTGTGGTTTTTGTAGTTACTCTGGGAAACACATGTATAAGAGATGAATCATCATACCACTTTTTAAGAATAATCCTCTGAGCTATAATGATTAGAATGATGACATTTAATATTAGCCTAAGAGTGCTTCAAAAAAAGACAATATTTCCAATATTTTAGCAAAATCTAAAAATGAACAGCATTTAAGTATTTCATAACATAATGATTTCATTATAATTATACCCTTTGAGTAAATAAATTATCTCTCCTTTGAAAATTAATGTCTAATGCTCTAAGTGATGCAAATTTAGAAACCTACCACTTTATCTAGGAGGCAGTACAGGATGCTTTGTAAGATCTCAGGCCCAAGAGGTAGACAGGACTGAAATTAAAAGTGGTTCAGCCTCTTACTAGTAGAGTCAGCTTAGTGGACCAATCTTCTGATGATCAAGTGGGAATCATAATGGTAGTATCTATCACACAGGATTTCTGAAAATTAAATATTTAATAACTGGCATAGGGCAAGCAGTAGAGCCTATTCATTAACAGTGAGGAATCTAGAGTCAAGGTGCCCAGAATGGAATCCTGGCTCTGCAGATCACTAGTTGTTCAACCATGTACAAATCACTTAACATCTCTAGGCTTTGACTGTCTCATCTACAAAATGCAAATAAAGCTAGTACTTGCTCCTAGAGATGTTATGAGTATTAGAATCATCAATGCACAGAAAGTGCTTAGATTAAGGCCTGGCGTGAATTGGATGCCCCAAAAATATTAACTATATATATATATATTATTTGTATTAGTATTATTATTTACTAATATATGCTTTCAGCCTTTGTAACAATTGCTTGGTAATGCAATGAATATACTAAGATACCTCTTTTGGGTTAAATTAAAATGCATTGAGAATTAAATCTTGAAGAAAAAATGCATTCTTATAACACAATCCAATGATATGTATGAATGACTTTCTATCCTAAATATATACTGAAATCATATTTGCATGGTGCTTTAAAGTCAACAAAGTGAACACAAAACTCACTAATTATTTTTATTAAAGCATACTTACTATGTATAAGTAATATGTAGCTATTTCTACAATATGATTAACAGCAATTATTCAGCATAATCCCAAGGCAAATACTAATTCTAAGCACTCAGCAAAGTATTATCAACCATTTAAAGATTTGCTGGTATCCGAGTAACTTCATGACCTCCAGCTGCTCAGCAGAGCATTTAAAGGCTCTAGACTATTAGTGACCAAAATTTCTTATTTTATTAGTAACATGCTTTTTAGATCTCTGCTTTTGGGACCAGGACCCCCGCTCTGCTGGTTTACTTTGGTTTGAGCTGTTTTCTCCTCTGAGCCTGGCATGTAGCAGGAATTGTCCTGGGACATGGAGAGAGGAAATGGAGATGTGAGTCAGGTATACCCAGGCAATAACCCAATGAAAGTACATAGCATGTGGGAGATGGGGTTACCCACAGACATTGTTTACTGAGATTAGGAGAACCGAGAAACTGTGGAAAATAACCTCACATCCTGAAAGCTGGTTCCTGCCAAACCTTGGAGGTAGATGTGAGCTAGTTAGGCCTGCTGGGATTGTGCTGAGTCAGTCATACTGTTTTGTACTGTCACAAACAAAGGTCATTGATAAAAACTTATTTCTCTATATTAAACTTACTGATTTCCAGGAAAGGAAACAGTCTAGTTTTGTTTTAAAATCCTAATGCCTATTCCAGTAACTTAAACACAGGAAAGTCTGAATCAGGAAAAGTCTGAATTATCTGATGATAATAATCTGATGATAATTTGCAATCTTAGCTTCACTTAATTGCCTGTAATTTTTTATTAAAATATGTTTGAAAGAAATTTCTACTGATGTTTAACTCATGCTATGTAAACTCATTCATGGTAGAGAATGAAAATGAATCAGATGTAGTCTGTGTGCTCAAAAAGTTCTAATGGGAAAGACATATGTACAAATAATTTTAACTCAAAGAGAATGAAGTCAGCTCTGTGATGAAGCTTGAGCAGTGATTTCAATGGGGCAAAAGGGAAAAATTGATCCAACCTAACCAGGAGAACAAAAATGCCCCAGATATTTTGAAATTCAACATGTGGGCACACATTTTTATCAGGCATTCTTTCATATATGCGTTGTTCAACAGTAAACATCAGCAGTCTAACCAACTGAGCTAATTAGATTCAGGTATTGGTATATAAAGAGCCCTCTAGATAAACAATTAAATCTGTAATAATTTATTAACTATTTATTTATTATGTACCTGGTATAGAACCAGACAGTAGAGATTCACAACAAAAATATAGATAGTTCTTGCTCTCAAGAAGATTAAGGGGAAGCATCCATTAAATAAATTGAGGAAACTACTATGAATAAACGCAAAGGATTGTTAAGAGGGAATGAATTAAATAATGAGTCAAAGGAGACTTCCATAAGCAAGTACCACTTATGCAAACCCTTGAAACATAAACTAAAGTAAATTAGTTCAAGGTAAAGAGTGGGAGGGAGCATTCCAGGCAGAAGTAAAAGTATGTGTGTATTAAAGTCTAAGGGTACAAAAGATTGTGATTTCTTCTAGAAGTCTAATGATAGGGCAGAATGACATGAAGGGACGTGGCTGAGGTGTGCAGTCACTCCTAGCTTGGTTGGCATTATTTAAAAGTTCATGACTGTATTTAAATGAAATGGGAACTCATTGCAAATTTTTAAATATGGGAATGTCATGATAAAATTTTTAGATCATTCTGACTACTTTGAAGAAAATGGATTGAAGGGCAAGAGCAGAGATCAGTTAGGCATCACGTAGAGCATGTAGAAAAAGATGAATGGGTTTGAGCTATATGCTGGAGATATAGTTAATGCCATTTAATGATAGATCTGTAAAAAATGTCCTTGATATTTTGATTGGGATTGCATTGAATCAAAATTGCTTTGGGTAGTATGGACATTTTGAGAATATTAATTCTTCAAATCAATTAACATTAAATATGTTTCCTTTTTTATGTTTTCTTCTATTTCTTTCCTTAATGTTTTGTAATTTTCATTGAAGCAATCTTTCACACCCTTGGTTAAATTTACCCCAAGCTATTTAATTTTTTTTAGCTGTTGTGAATGTGCCAGAGCATTTTATAAGAATGCTATTGACTTTTGTGCATTAATTTTATCTGCTGCCACATTGCTGAATTCTCTTATGAGTTCTCATAGTCTGTTATTGGAGTCTTTTGGTTCCCCAATACAAAAGATAATATCATCTGCAAATAGTGATAATTTGACTTCCTTCTCTCCAATTTATATCACATTTCTTTTCTTTTCTTTCTTCCTAATGGCTCTGGCTAAAGCTTCCAGAACATATAGTGGTGAAACTGGGCATCCTTCTCTAGTTCCCGATCTTAGTGGAAGGGTTTTCCGCCTTTCCCCATTCAGTATGATGCTGGCTGTGGGTTTGTCATATAATGTTTCAATAGTGTTGAAGTATGTTCCTTTTTTATTTAAGGGATAAACATTTCATGTGTTTGATGTATACAGATTTAGGAACATAATGATACTTCCACCTCACCCTGCTTCCCTCCCACACTCCCATCTTTCCTCCCCCTTCCTCTCCTATTCCCTCTCTTAATTTTTACAATGTTCTACCTTCAATTTACTTTATACTCATGAGATTAATCCTACACTAAGTAAAGAGTTCAACAAATACTAAGAATGAAAAGAAAAAATAAACACTGTTCCTCAACAGTAGAGACAAGGTCTGTAAACAACGTTTTTATTATAAAAGGATGTTGGACTTTATCAAATCCTTTCTGTATATCTATTGAGATAATCATATGGTTTTTATCCTTCATTTTATTGATGTGATGTGCCATGTTTATTGATTTGCTTATGTTGAACCATCCTTGCATCCCTGGGATAAATCCCACTGGGTCTGAGTGAATAACTTTTTGAAGCATGTTGGATTGGATTCAATTTGCTAGTATATTGTTGAGGATTGCATCTATGTTTTTGGGTATATTGGTCTATAGTTCTTTTGTTGTTGTTGTTGTATCTTTCTCTGATCTTGGAATTAAGGTAATACTCGACTCAGTGAGTTTGGAAGAGTTCCCTCTCTTTCAATTGTTTTGAATAGTTTTTAAAAACTGCTATTAGTTCTTCCTTGAAAGTTCAATAGATTCCAGCAGTGAAGCCCTCAGTCCTGGGCTTTTCTTTATTGGGAGGCTGTTTATTACTGATTCTACCTCAGTGTTCCTTATTGGTTTATTCAGGTTTTCTATGTCTTCATGCTTCAATTTAGGTAAATTATATGAGTCCAGAAATCTATCCTTTTCTCCTATATTTTCCAATTTGTTGGCATATAACTGTAATAATTCTTGGTAATTCTTTGTATTTCTGTAATATCAATTGTAACATTTCCTTCTTCATCTCTGATTTTATTCATTTGGGTCTTTTCACTTTTGT